CAGTTTTTGTTCATTTAGGTAAACTTCAGCTTTGTCATTCTTCCTACCAAATTTAAAAATTTTCATTTTCCCAGATCATACTCTTTCTGCTTGATCTCTCTCTCTGCTCTCAACCTATCTGTACCCATTCACAAACTTCTTGCATATTGTTCATAACATATTTTCTTATCTGTCTTGGTTTCATCCCTGAATTGAGCTACCATGCCTTCGCTCCCCTCAACTAAGCCATTAATTTGAATTCTAAGAAGCTGAGGCCCCAGAACAGATTTCAGTGGGACTCCACTTGTCTCATCCTGCCAATCAGACAAGGAACAAATTACGCATTTTCTGTTTCTGCCAGTCAGTTAATTTTCTATTTGTGCTAATATCTGGCCTGCTACATCGTGAGCTTTTATTTTCCACATTAGCCTTTGATCTGGCACCTTATTAAATACCTTCTGATAATCCAAGTACATTTATTAAACAATCTCCTCTTTACCTACAACATGTTACTCTTTCAAAGAACTCCAACAGGATTTCTCTTTCAAGAAACCATGCTGACTCTTCCTGATTACCTTGCATTTTTGTCAGTTATAACCTCTTTAATGATTCTAACACCTCCTCCATGACAGACATTAAGCTAACCGGCCAATTTCTGGTTTTCTGCCTCCCTCCCTTCTTGCAAAGAAGGGCGAAATTTGTTACTTTCCCATCTGATGGAACCTTTTTCGAATTTAAGGAATTTTGAAATATCAACAACTTCATTGGCCACCTCTTTTAAGGCCCCAGGATGAAGTCCGTCTGGATCCAGTGATTGTCAGCCAACAGCTCCAAAATTTGCTCACTGCCACTTCCCTAGTGATTCGGATTTTGCTAAGGTCTTCTTTTCCTATTACTTCCTGATTTACATCTATTACTGGAATGCTTTTTGTACCCCTCTACAGTGAAGGTAGAAGCAACATACTTGCTCATTTCAACCGCAGCTTCTTTATTTTTTATAATTGACTCCCCATTCTCACTGTATAGACGACAAACACCCATACTACATACTCTCTTCCTTTTTAAATACGTGTAAAAACCCATGCCATTCATTTTCACATTTCTTGCTAGCTTCCCCTTAAACTCTGATTTCCTTTTTAACCTTTCAGTCAACCTCTGACATTCTTTACATTCTGACCAATTATCTGACCTGCATCTTTTGTGCGGTTTTATGTTTTCTCCTAAAGTTTGTTTCTTTCCCTAACTTCCTTGGTTAACCATGGATGCTGGGTGTTCCCTTAGAATTTTACTTTACAGTAGGAATATGTTTAATCTGAGTATTCTGAAATAGTCCTTTAAAAGTCTGCCACTGTACCTCAATTGATTTACCCCCAAACTAGTCTGCCAGCTCAATTCAGTTGGCTTGGCTTTTTGCCCACAGGGTTTCCCTTATTTACGTTTACAATACAAGTCAGTGACTCAATCTTCTCTCTTTCAAACTGGTTGTAAAATACAATCATATTGAGATTGGTGCTACCAAGCAGTGCCTTTACTCTGAGGTCATTAATCAATCCTGTCGTTCTGTGCAATGCCAAATCTAAGATAACCGGCTCTCTGCTTGGTTCCAGAACGTGCTGTTCTAAGAAACTCCCTGCATGGTTCTCTTGAACTGCACGTTAGTTTATAGTGACTCATGACCAAGGAAACCCAAGTCTTTTTGTACATCAGTACATCTCAATCTTTTCCATTCAAGAAATATTTGGATGACTAGGCTGATTCAAGAAAAGGTGCAAACAAATTGAATAATAAAAAAATGTTTTCACACACTTACTGCATCACCTGGTTTTCATTTGTTTTGTTGACAAAGTCTTTTTACAGGCAAATTGAGATACTCGGGGACCTCCTTGGCTATCTCAAAACTCTGCTTAACACAGACTTGTAGGCAGGCCTCTGCAAGTTGATGTATTTAGTAAAGAACAGATTGCACGACAATTTTTTGAAAAAGCTGCTTAGCTCAATGGAATGTTCGCAATAATTTTTTTCAATCTTCGTAAAAGTACAACAAAAGGCTAAAGCATTGTTTACAGTGAAAGAGAAAAATCAATATTTGTGCGATGAAAGCATGGAATCAAAGAACCACAACAAGTATTGTCCCAAGCGCAATGACTAGATTTGAATTGGTAGCAATTCAATGGCTAAACATTTATCTAAACAATGTGATTCATGAATTAACGTAATGTCAAATTATTCAGTCTCAAAACACAGGCAGTCTTCATTGCAACAACTTGTACTGATGTCATAGGATAAATTATATGCAAATGTTAAGTGTGAGAGTGGGCTTCCAGAGAGCTTGGGTCTAATGCCATAATTCCTTTTTCTCAATGCCTGCCTGATCTATATTTACTAGTTCATTAAGTTGTATACCAAGAACATAGCAATATAGGATTATATGTGCTATACAGCACAGAAACAGGCCAATCATCACAACCAGCCATGCCAATCTTCATGTCCACTTGAACCATTTCCTATCCTTTTACATCTAAATCTATCAGGGTAGCCATCTATTTATTTGTCCCTCAGGCTTGCCTGGCTTTCCCTTAATGGCAGTATAGAACTCACGTCAACTATTCCTGATGGTAGTAAGCTCCATGCTTTCACCAGTCCTTAGGTGAACAAGTTTTTTCTTTGCTTTATGCCTATCTTATATTGATGGTCTCTGGTTATGCTCTTCTCCACAACAGGAAACTCATTCTGTAACCAATCTAACAAAACATTTCACCATTTTCAAGGTCACCCTCCAGTCTCTTGTTTTCAACAGAGAGGAGATCCATCTTGTCAATTCTTTCTTGAAACGTACACCCATGTCTTCCCGGTTTCATTCTTGTCACCTTTTCTACACACTCTCCAATGCATCTATATAGTTTTCATGATAAAGTACTTAGGGTGTCAGTTAGCTCAGTTGGCTAGATGGCTGCTTTGCAAAGTAGAATAATGCCTATACAGTTAAGGTAAACATGAAGGTGCTCGTTCTCAACCTCTCCCATGGCCTGAGGTATGGTGATCAGCAGTTTTTGTTCTCTAATGAAAGAGCAGCCTATGATTTGGGAGGACTATGGCAACTTTGCCTTTACTCCAAGAATAATTTAATCAAGATCTGATGCAGGTTTGGAAAACTCCTATAATCTTCAGTTGCATCCTTCTAAAACATAAACCCTAAAGCCTGGTTTGTCTTTTTTATGTGTGGTGTTGCTAATTTCTGGCGCAACTTTGAATAATTAATGTATTTGTACTACAAGATTCCTTGTTTCTCTGACCCTAACTGTGGGTGGAAACCGGAGCACCTGACAGAAACCCATGCAGACACAGGGAGAATGGCACCCATTGTTGGAACTGAACCCGGGTGCCTGGTTCTGTCAGGCAGCAGTGCTAACCACTGAGCCACTGTCCTTTCCTAAAGTTGGGGAAAGTTTGTGAAAATGGGCATCATGGAGAGTGCAATAAAGGGTCACTTGCATTCTTTTTGCTTAAACATCCATTGTGAATAATGTCAGATCATATCAGAGCATGAGGAAGCCTTCAGAATCCAACATAGGTCTTTGGCTCTTTATTGCTCAATGGTTGGACCCCCATTTTACTTGGACATCTGAAACTAGATTGCATGAAGATGAAACAACTTTTGCATTGTGAACCCATAAAGTGAATAGTGAAATACAGCAAATAGCTTCTGAATTTCACGTATCCGATGGGAGCAGAAGCATTTGTCCTAGATCAAGTGTTGCAGACTGGCATAATCTGAAATCCAGGGCTACATGCTAAGGTACACATTAAAGCTTTTTGAAAGGCCACTATCTAAGGTCTTTTAGCCATAGTGTACCACTGGGTTGGATATATGCTTGCATATAGTAAATGTCACAGATATTACAAATGCTTTGAAGGCACCTAAAAGGGAAACATATTCAATGCACAAAAGTTGTACTGTATGACAGAGAATGCAATATGCAACTTGAAATGGTTTGGAATGTGCTTATAACTCTAGTAGTACATTTTTGCAAAAAAATCAGCTGGGTGATTCACCGCCATTCCTTCATTTTTATGTTCAGTTTCTTTGCTTATCATGTTTAAAATTTACAACAGTAAACCATGTTGAGGTAACTTCTTGTTCTGTAAATGAGTGGATTTTGCATTTCTCCTTGTGAGATGCCAGTGCAAATACAAGCGCTAAGTCAGGACAGGGGAATCTAGGTCTCCGTGTCAGTAACAAAAGATAATGCAGGGCCATCAAAAGTGCAAATATATTTTAATTCTTATCCAGAACAGAGATAATATGCTAGTAAAGCAACAAACACAGGGCTAATCATCTGGTGTCATAGCACACATACAGCTCCCTCTTTGAATGTATGGAGTCTGAAGACTACAATGTGAAAACCTATACTGCTAAACATTCTACTGGGTTTTCTCTAACACTAGCACAGCAGAACCCTCTTTACCTCCTTCCACAAGCCTCTAGTTTCCAGACTCGGATTTCACAGTCTTCCGACTCCGGCGTACAAATTATGCCGGAGAAAATTATTTTCAGCTTTCCAGTTATGCATTTCAAAACTATTGGGAATCATTGGCAGTTCCTAGTTAAGGTATTATTTTTACACTGCATGATTGTAAGTTAAAATACAAATCTAAGAATTTGAATGCAGTTTGGTGAAGATGGACACTGTATCTTGAGAGGATAATGAGAAGTGCCAACTTATTTCCATTTTCTCCTCTATCTTCCTAAAACCAGCTGAAACTTCTCACACAGAGGACACAGTACCCCTTGCTGTTCCTTCCTGTGGTAGGAAAGAAACAACAAAAATTGGAGAAAGAAGAAAGGAAACATTTTTGCGTGCACCCGCAAAGGAGAACTACTAAGGTCTTCCTTGTCCTCAAAAACTGAGAAATACCCAGCTTGTAAAGATTTACTGATAAGTGCCTACATCCAAAATATTAACCTGTGGTTCTCTTTACAGATGTTGACTGACCTGCTGTGTATTTCAAATACCTCTTACCTTCCAAACACTGTGTGCTTCTTGTCTAGGTAGACACATGAGCGGAATGTAATGAAGCTGAGAAGACAAAAGAGTTTTAAAAAAAGGTCTTCAACCAGAATCAACATTTGTAAAAATAAAAACCGAAAGAATTGAGTTCTGAGGAAGAGTCACTGGACCCAAAACGTTAACTCTCATTTTGTAAAAATATCTTGTTCAACTGAGGTTGTTGCCGAGCTGGCTTGTTCGTTCTGACGTTTTGTCACCATGGTAGGTGACATTATCAGCGAAGCCTCTGATGAAGCAATGTTATTCTACTCCGCTTGGAATTTATACTGTCCGGTCTGTTATGGTGAGTCGTGTCATTTCCGGTTTTGATCTGTATGGGTTTGTATATGGGGTCCAATTCTATATGTTTGTTGATTGCATTTTGGGTGGAGAACCATGCCTCTAGGAATTTCCGTGCGTGTCTATGTTTGGCTTGGGCTGCCATGGTTAGGTTACATTCCTAGAGGCTCTCCACCCTTTACGCAATCAACAAACACATAGTATTGGACCCCATATACAAACCAATACAGAACAAAACCAGAAATGACACTACTCACCAAAACGAAGCAGACAGTATAAATTCCAAGCCGAGCAGAATAACACCACTTCACCGTAGGCTTCACTGATGATGTCACCTAGCATGGTGACGGAACGTTTGAATGAAAACAAGCCAGCTCAGCAAGCAAGTCAACAACCTCACCCACAACCCGAGCTACAGATCTATGCCAACACTTTGATCTTGTTCAACTTCAAAGGTGCAGTATAGCTTTAATCTGAAAATAGACTGAAACTGTTAAAAAAATTGCAAAATGCTAACTGTGTACGCGCACCAGGTAGGAACTAATTAAATTTTTAAAAATATTGCAGCAAAAAAAGGTCCAGGTTTAGATAATCTTAAAAAGAAATACTTAACATACATAAGCCAGAAACTACATTTTCCGTAGTTAAAGCTGAAGAGACTTTACCTTTAACAAAGATTAAAGAAACACTTTTTGGCCATTACATATCGATTCTCAAAAACGCTTCCATTTATAGTGTTATAAGCTTCAAAACAAAACCCATTATCAGCTGTTCTGTACTGTAGACAATTGATGGAAGAGAAGGCACTGAAAAGTAAGCCTATTTATTTTGAATGAAGATGTTAAACATTTGGATCTGGTTGTACGAAATTTAATGATGTTACAACGGCTTCCAATTTGATTGTTTTAAGGGAGATGTGGAGTCCAGCACTGAACTCATTTCTTTCATTACATTTCCCAATATCCATTTGGTGAAACAAGTTTTACTGCTGTGTATTACGCTGTGGTTATCTATTAAGATTTCTAAATATTTTATTTTGCAAAGCATTGTGGGCAAAGGAAGTGCTCACATGATAAATGAGAATCAGATTTCCTACAGTCTTATAACGTAGTTCTTTACTTAATCCCATATACATAAAAAGCAGAACAGTTCTACTTAAACATGAAATTATAAGTGCAGTGTAGGCTTGCACAATGTATGTCTAATCTATCAAGAAATAATATGTGCATATTTCTGATTTTCTAAACATTTTTCAACAAAATAGTTTGCAATGATCTTGCTGACTTGAGGGACTAGAGTAAATAGAGACTGCTGAACAATTACTTACAACTGCGACTTGTTGGTGTTGGGTCCTGAGTTGGCCATGCTAAGGATGCCTCGCCCTGCATGTGACAGGTTGTGTTTGAACTCATCCTTGAAAGGTTTTCCCCAGTATGATTCTCCACCTGGAGACAGAAAGGGAGAAACATATTGGCATAAAGTTTGAATGAAAGTTCATAAATTTGATACATTAATTCTGCTTCTCCCTCCATTGTTACTGCTAGATCTGCTGAGCATTTCTAATATTTTATTTTTATTTCAAATTTTCATCATCTTGCCTTTGATATCACCATGTTTATTACTGGGACTTACAATAACAAGCAGTTCACATTGTACGCAATGAGCGGAAGAAATATCTTTGCAGGTTTTGTGGAATTATTGCAACGGAAAGTCTCACAATTCTGTACTGTTGCTCTCCCAAACATACAAGTGGACGAGGAATGTCAGAAATGTTCTAAAGTGACATATACCATTGTTTCTTTCAAGTAATAATTATAATCAACGTGAGAAGTCAAAGCATAAGAGTAACTACTAATTCTATAATTAATAAGATGATGCACTTTTAAATGTACTGTTTCGTTTTAGAATGCATGGTTGAAAAATACTGGCTTACTGGCTATTGCAGGCACATCAATGTAAATGTTATCCAACAATGCCAAAAAGAGGTGGTGTTTAGCAAAACCTTCCTATTCCAGTGGCTGTTGCAGTGTTCAAATACTAGAGACTGCAATTTCACTGATACAACATACATCAGAATGATTCTGATAGCTAATTTTTATCTGATAAATCATGGGCATCACTTCACCAAACAAATGTTGCTAATTAGCTTTGAGACTGTCAGAATTTACAGTCTGTTAGTTGCATTTCACTGCTCACTGAGGCTATAATGGGCCACATAATGTTGAATTTTGCCCACGAATGATGTTAATTCTGTCTAGATCTTTTGTAGAATAATTGATAGAGATTAACTACTACAATTAGTCCATAACAATTCAAATGTTCTACAAAAATTCAGTCCATTAAAAAACATACACATACTAAGACAGATTCATCCATGGCTCATTCAAGAAGTTAAGGATTATATCAAATTAAAAGAATCAGCTCACAGTATTGGAGAGGAACAGTACCAAGTCTAAGGATTGAGGCTGTTTTAGAAGACAAAGGGCCAACAAATGTTGTTAAAAAGGGGAAAAGAAAGAAGAGAAAACTAGCCAGGATTTTAAAAAACAAATTTAAAGAATGTTTAAAAACAGATAAAGAAGAACAGAATAGCTAAAGTAAATGTTGGTCCCTTACAACTAGAGATAACAGAAATTATCATGAGGGATGAGGAAATTACAGATACATGGAACAATGTTATGTGACCAGGTTCACATTGGAAGACACAAGTTGTGTACCAGAAATAGAAAGTAACCTAAGAGATGAAAAGAGTGAGGAATTGAAGATAATTAATATGAATTGAAAAAAAGTACTGGATAAACTTATGGAGCCAAAATCCAATAAATCCCTCGGTCCTGCTGCCACACATCTTAGAGTTTTTAAAAGAATAGTGGATACCCTAACCATCATTTTCCAAAATTCCCTAGATTCAGGAAAGGTAACACTAGACTGGATGTTGACAAATGTAACCGCTTTTCAGGAAAGGAGGGAGAGAGAAAACCAGGAACTGTAAGTCAATTGGCTTGGCGTCAGTCATTAATAATAGATGCTAGCATTTCACCAAAGACTTATAAATAGACATAGAAAAGCAGATAATAATTAGAACAAGTCACCAGAAATCCTTTTTTACCAAATTTATTGGACAGATTCAATAGTCTGTATAGTCTAATCCAGCCCCTATTTCATGTGTTTGTGCGGAATATGCTGCCTGACAATGGTGATTGTCCAGATCAGTTGTGGCAGACTAAGTGTGGGGCAAAGATGGGGAAGTGGGAATAACTGAATCACTCTTGTAGAAGTCCAGAATTGACTCAACTAGTTGATTAGACTATTTCTGTGTTGTAGCTGTTCTATGATTCTACCGCGTCTTTTACATTTTGCCGAGAGACTACGAATTGCTGGAGGACCGCTGTGACAATGGTGCAAGGATGTCAATAGCTGAGATCTTATGGAAGACTAGCACAATGTTTTGTTTCTGATCTAATTAAAGAAAATACCACAAAGATAATATGCAAAAGATGAGAAAGAAATGGGATAAATTAGAGTTAAACAGGCACTGAAAAGGAAATAAAGAGAAAAGGGTGAATTGAGATGGAATGAAAAGG